AGAGGGGTCATTTACGATGACAAATGGACATTTTTTTTCTGTTTCTTTCATTGAATCATTGATATATTAGAACTATTCAATATGCATGTTAGATGACAAATTATCATGATAGTAGGCTTGACACCTCTAGATATATCAATTTTTTTTTGGTAATCCAGACTTGAGTCTCAAAAGGCCAAACTTGTGATTGCAATCAATTCCTGGACGCAATCAAAAAAATTACATCAGGCATGTTTGATAGTTTTCAAAATGATAGACGAATATTTCAAATGTGAATAATAAAATTTTGGTTGCTATCAACTATTGGAGGCAATTCAAACTCAAGGGATGATCGAATCACAAGGTAAAAGAAAAACTGTTATATCCTTGGATTTGCCTTTTATGCAGATAAATTTATATGAAACTCACTAAAGTGAATCTCTCTCAGGATTGATTAGGGGTTACCTTTAAGTTAAAATATATGATTAAAATACTTATTTGGTAAAAATTCAAACCAAATAAAGGCAAATATATGCCATATCCAACTCAAGAAAGTTAAAAAGTTCACTTTTTAGGATTTTATTTTTGTTTATTTTTTATGTTTTAATAGTATGCATCTATCCTATAAGACATAATTTCATGATGAATGAACTTAAGATCAAAATTATCACTATCAACTCCTTGTTGGAACGATGGAGGAGCCTAAGGATCCTTTAGGATTCAAACTTTCATTGATTCAAATGAAAGCCTCTATGTTTTAGTTAAGTGGTTTAATTATATTTTCATTTACAACTGACTACACCATTCCACAAGTTTTTTTATTTATTTTTTTTAACATAGCAAATATAATTTATATTGTTAAAGATGCAAATTATGATATAGGATAAATTATCTTATTCATGGATTATTAATAACAAGAAATTTTAAATATTATTTTATTATGCTTGAGAGGCTTTCTTTTGAAATTTGATAATGCTCCAATTGTATGAAAATTTTTCAATTTCAAGGCAAGTCAATCACGGGTCTTTTTACAAGGAGAATAATTCCACAAATGAATCCAGTGATAAGATGAAAGCAAAATACTTGATTGAGATGATTATGAAATATGTTCATGATATGAAAAATATTCTAAAGAGGCCTACGAAGGTTTTCACTTTTATACAGAATTTGAGATGTGCGAGAAGCCTCTCCAAATTTGGATTGAAAGATGAGCCCTACCAGATTCTTTCATTCTTTTCTTTCCATTTCAAATTTGAAAGATTTTACTGTCTAACCGCAGCGCAGGGATAGGGTATCAATTCAAAAGCCAAAAAAGTTAAAATAGTAATTTTGCTTGAACAAAATACATGTTAGCCCTCACATATATTCTTGTAGGAGGGATCCTATAAGAGCATATAATTACCTTGGAACATTTTTGAGCACTTCATGTTTTAATGTTGAAACAAGACTTGCCGCTACTACTTAGAAAGAGAGTGACATTTAATTTTGATATTAAGGTTATTGCAAATGCAAATCTATTAGGAGTGCATCGGGATAGGGTTTGATATAAGACAATTCACCTAAATGTGCGACATAGAGCAAAACTCATATGTTTAAGTTGATCACGGAAAGATACATCTCCTTTTTATGTAATTACATATCCTCACAAGAATGGTGATTCTATAATAAAAAGATCAAGATAATTGGATATTGATCTAGGAGACCTATGAGGGCAAACCAAAGGTCTCCTCTTATCAACAGGCAAGGCTTAGAGTATCTTCCTTTCTCTTAGGATGGACTTTATCTAAATGATCATAATAGAGTTATTTTTTAGAAAAAAATGAGAATCTCATCATCAAATTATTCAAAGGAAGTTTAATTTAAGTTTGCCTCTCTAAAGACACCTACATCATGGAGGAATTAGAGGGTAGTATGAGTATTTGATAAGATATTTGCAAGCATAAAAGGGCTGTGGATAGAACTTTTAAGGTTAACCCGTCAAACTCATCTCACACTCTCTATAAGGACACATAAGGGGCCTAAAGGAACCACTTCAAATGTTTCCATAAAGGGCGAATAAAACTTTTAAGGTTAACCTGTAGACTTTATCTCACTCTTTATAAGGAGACATGAGGGGCCTAAAGATCCACTTCAAAAGCTTCCTATCATCATGAAGTGCATACACCATATCTATAATAGAAGAGACAACGATCAAATTTTAAGATTTGTTTTTTATATATGGGATAAGGTGCATCAAAATCCTTAAGTACCACTCATTTGATAAACCTGTGAACGTCCTCCTATCTCAGGCTATAACGAGGACCTTCATGTTGGAGAAAAATTAGTATCCTTTTTATTATTTAAGAACATTTATCTTTTCATGACAAGCCTAGGAGTATTCACAGGCTTTGACAAAAATAAAATATTGTTTGTTGTCCCAAAAGCTCTTTCTTCAGAGTTTATTAAGGATTAAAACCTATAGGTACGGTTAAAGGGAAGCTTTTTATTTCACGTCCTGGTAGCTCTTCTGCCCTTTTTAAGAGCAATGAAGGCATCAAAGGAACATGATATATCTTCTGCATTGGTATAAATGTATTTAAATTTATATATAATCATTATGTAACAATAAGGTTTAAGCTAGCCCACAAAAGACTATTATTTGGGCTTGTATAATTGAATACCCTATGGCTAAAAATTGATATCAACATGGCCATTATTGTAGGGGAAAGCAACTTTCTCTTGATTCTTTCCAAAGGATGACATGCTAGGTCACAGGAATTAGAAGATATGGAAGGCCAAATGATTTGGTGTTTCCTCTAATGGTCTATCCCATACTATTAAAGTAATCAAACCACAAGATAGAGGGTGCATCTCCATATCCAAGGGTCACCTCTAGTAGGGAACTCTAAGTTAATACAACCTTTAACTGTTATGATCATATTTGTCGCCCTAAATGCAAGGTTTTGTTGGTACTAATAAAATTTTTTAATGAAAATGCTAAAATACTCAACGTTATTATCAATAGCATGACATCCTCATCAATTCTTCGAAGGGATTGCACCTTGAAATTAAATTTTATTGGAATTTTATATGACATGAATGTCAAATAGCCCTAGTTACTTATAGTTGACTGCAGTAGGTTAAGATATTAGATACATAGGAATATTTTCTTCTTGAAATTTTTTTTTATAAAACGACTTCTATATAATATAAAAACTGTCATGACGTAAGATAAATATATTTTTCATTCGACATGTGGCATAAATTACATACAGTTAACAGTAGTAATTAGAATTGTTGAATATCATCAATTACATGTAACTAATCAAAGTAACTATAAATGCATGTATAAGATTTGAGAAAGTGAAATCAGTTAGCTACTCAAAATGACAACTGAAAAGTCATTGCCAAGTAAATTTTATGGCATAGGACATTAGCTAATCACGCTTGATAATAATTGCACTATCACATAGGAGCATAGGATTGAATTTAAAGACCAGGAATATTGAATGGCATTAATTACATAAAACTAGCTGCAGTAAGTAAAAATATTGAGTGATATTAGTTACATACAATTAATTGTAGTAATTAAAAAAATGCTAGAGGTAAATTTAAGACAATGACATCAATTGGCTGCTCAAAATAAATGAATTTTAAGAATTGTGACATCAATTGACTACGCTTTGTAGCAACTACTACGTCACATAGAAGTATCGTGCTTGTCTTTAAAGGCCAAGGGCATCAAATCACACCAATTACATACAGCTAGCTATAGTAACTGAAAATGGAAAAAAATTTCAATTACGTACAAGTAGTTATAGCAACTAAATTTGTTTCAAGATAATTAATGAACTGTTCTGTAGCAATTTGTATGCTTCTAAAAATGAATCTCAAGGGATGTGATGTCAATTGAATATGCTTGGTAGCAATTCCAACGTCACATAGAAGCATAATATCTAACTTTCCTAACAGTAGCACGTTTTGTTTGATTTAGGTTAAGCACTTTGTAGGTCTGTGGTTTGATTGAGCTAGGTTTGCATGGAAGGAGAAGAAAGTGAGGATAAATGTAGTGACTGCAGCAGCAGTCTAGTGCTGGTGTACAACCTTTTCTGTAGAAGGGAGGTTCAGAAGAGGAGAAGGATAGGAAAAATGAAAACTTTAGATAAACCAATGGGTTTTATGCAGAAAGACAGATAAGATGTTAGTAAGAGATCAATTGATCTTGACATTACCTTTTTTAAATGGAGAATTGAAGGATGTAGGTGAATAGGAGCATTTCCTCGATTATATTTTTGGGAAAGTTAATGTTTAATGTATTTACCTACTAATAGCTTGGACCTACCTATTGTCAGCCAGATAAGAGCCGACTTGGTCTATTTTAATCAGGATCCATTTCTTTAGTGGGAGCACACTCAGTTTATTTCAATAGAGCTACGCCAAATTTCCTTATTTTTCTTGTTTCATATAGGTGAATTACATACCAATCTCAATGTTTTGTCATTTCCCGCTCATGTCACTCTCTCTAATTCTTCAATAGGCGTTCTTCCAATTTTAACATTTTGCACTGTTTCTTTTGCATTTATTGATTAGGTTAAATTCAAAAATAGCATTTTTTTTAGGTTTCTTAGTCTTTTTGACTTCCATCTTACTCTCGTTTTATTTGATTGACATATTTGTTGTATGTAATTACATTTAATTTGTGTAATGGGCTTTCTATCTCTTTCCATGCGTTGTTTGAGAATTAGGGATAGTTCTTCGTTTGCCCATATGGATAACATTCCCATATTTCCTTTTTGCTCGAGGAGTTTTCCTATTTGATGGTTCCTATGCCAAGCTTAAGTGCTTTGAGTTGATGAATTTATGACAAATAACGTATATAATTTATGCATTATCTCTAGTTGCCCTAACATTTGGTTATGATGGTTTCTCATATTTTGTAAAATCAAGAAAAAGTTGTATTATGCAGCTGCAGCTTTTATCGTTTTGAATTTTAGATCATAGTTACTTTTCCTTGAAACCATATTTGGGTATTAAATTTCTAGGATTCTGATACTGCTGCGGCAATTGGGTCCAAATCATACAATGCACTTGCTGGAGACCTGGTTTCTTTTGAAGCGGGAAAGTCAGATATAGAAAATAAGAAATTGTCTCACAATGATTCTGTTGATTTTGTCGCTGCAACCACTGCAACGTTAGGAGTGCCATCACCCTCACTTTCAAGAAGCATATCTTTTGATTATTGCCAGGAGTCATTGCCTGCGGATCAAAGAAAAGGTAAAGGTGATAAAGAAGAGGAAGAGGAGCTGATGAGGATCTTGAATTTGTCAAGAGCTGATGTGTTAAGTCCTAGTGATTCTATTCCTGCAGTTCCTCACAGTCCAGATGGAACTACACCTTTTGCATTTGAAAACTCTTCTGTTTCAAGTGTGCAGCATAGTGTGGATGATTCTGAAAATTTTGATCTGTCGGATAAAACTGTGCCTTTAGAATGTGATGGATCTAGTGATTGCAACAATAATATATTACACAATCATGTTATTTTAGGAGATGATGATGCTTTACCTTTCAATGGAAATTGTGGAAGTAATGCAGAGCAGAGAAATCCTGTTGTTTCTGTTTATTCTTCCATTTCAAGTGATATGAAAAACAATATAAACGAAGTTCCATTAATTTGGTCTACAGAGGCTGATGTTTCTGATGGATCTTCTACTTACAAAGAGGGAGCTTGCCTTTCAGGGGACAATCGATCGCCTTTGCTGACATCGGCAGAAGATTCAGTGACACCTCAGCTTCAAAAAACGACTGATGATGGTGCTAAACACTGTGTGCCAAAAGATCTTGTTGATTCAGCTGCACAGCATCCAAATTTTCAACCCTCACTTGAAACGAAGGAACCTTTGGATGTTGCTGAGGTTGTTTGTAGTCTATCAATTGGTGAACCTATATATGAAGGAGAAGACCACATTATTGAATCTAGGCTATCAGATTATGAGGATCAAGAGCCAATCTATGAAGGTGAGATGGTTCTTGCTGAACAGGCTATGATAGCTGGTGAAGAAGCAAGTTCTATACATTTGAACGATCAAGTTACTGGGCGGCAATGTAAGATTTAAATTTATTTTCAGTCACGTAGTTGTTTATTTACTCCTTTTGCATTCATTAATCAAATTATTCTGTTCTTTTACTTTAGGTCAATTGATTAAGAACTTCCTGGAAGGTACAGCAAGCCAATTGACAATCTATGGGTATACTTTTATTGCATTTTATGCCAATGAATATTTTCTGTTTGTTATAAATGCTGGGAGAAATATTCCTTTTTTTTTTTGGTAGCCTATTTTGCTTGCAAGAAGGTTTGAAGGAAAGAGAACTCTGCGTCTTTTTTCGTAACAACCATTTTAGCACCATGTTTAAGGTATGGTGAGCTGTTGTTTTTCATCTGGTGCCTCAAAATTATTTCACCTTGTAGAAAAAATAGATCAGTCTTTCAGTCCGATTTTTGAACCATTGCCATTACCTATTTTTCAGTTCAATGGAGAGCTTTATTTGTTGGTTACGGATCAAGGTTACATGAACCAACCTGATGTAGTGTGGGAAAAGTTGAATGAGGTAAACTGTATTTGCTCCAAATTCCTTCCCTCCGGATGCACTACTATTTACCATTAATCCTCTCTTTTCCAAATTAACGATACCAGCTATTCTTTCATTAACTTTTGTTTGGACCATTTCGAGAATCTAATTGACTATGTAACTTTTTTATTGATAATTTTTTGTTTTAACTGAAATGTAGGTGAATGGAGATACAGTTTTTATGACAGGCAATTTTACACAGTTCAACCCTGATAATCAAGCCAATGACTCATGGAATGAGCAGAATGCTATCAATAACACCACTGTATGTCCTTTTTAATACTTTCGAATTTCATCTAGCCAATCTTCAGATGATGTCAGATAACATGGCTGTTTATTGCAGGATTATCTAGCTACACTTGAAGGATCGACGCCATCAAATTCATCTTTCAAGTATGCTTCAGAGTTAACTTGGATTTGACATTCAGAATTTGACTTTTTGTTATTATTTCTTTGAAGTAGAATTGTTTTACCTTGTGAGGCCCAGTGAGTGGTTCAAATCCGTTTATCTACATCAGATAGGCCAACTGCTGAAGGAGAGACTAACAATAGGCCAGAATTTGTTCCATCAACTAGAGAGTGGAATGAGCATGGTGTGCAAATTAGCAAAAATGGACTTTAAAGCAAATTTATTAATTTAAAATCTTAGGATAAGAGAGGTGACTCAGCATTTAGATATTAATAAAATTAGAGTCAAGTGGATATTATAATATTCTAACAAAAGTGGAGATAAAAATTCACCAAGTCTGCTAAAAGAAAGGGGGATCCACTGGAAATGATAATTAAAAAAAATCATGTTAATCCTCTAGAATTCACTACGTGAGAATCTTACTTTCTCCTACTCGCTCATGCCATAAGGAAGAAAAAAACACTTTTTAAGAAAATTTTCTAGGTATGGCGGAACACTTAAAGGAAGTAATAAATAAAAATCAAGTTAATCCTCTAGATATCTCTCAATGAAAACCTTCCTCTCTTCTTCCAGCTTGTATAGTTTTTTTCTTTTAAATTTAAAGTCATTATGATAAGCACTTAAATAAGGCATTGGCTTATGAAATAACTTATTTTATTTATTGGATAGGATAATTTGCTTATGTTGGTGTTTTAGTTTGTTTATAGTTTTTGCAAGGAATAAATATTTGTAATTGTTTTGGAATCATTTATTGAAGGGAATAAAAACCTCATTGAATTTCTCCTTGCCCTCTATAGCCATTACCTCTTAATTCTAGGTGTAGCAAGCTGCTGATCTCTCTCTCTCTTTCTCTTCTTTTTTTTTTACATTTTAGGCTCTAGTACATTGATCCTGTTTCTTTAGCCATTACTGAAGCCTTCAGAGAAGAATTTTAGATTGTTAATTGCTGGTTTCTTTTGGTTTTGAGTCGGATATCAAATCCATTCGTTGTTATATAATATAATTAGTGTGGATTAGCAGAAATCAATAACCATATAAGGATGAATGAGTCTATAAGGTTTCTTTGATTGACAATTCTCATTCTCTATGTTTCTGTAAGTTTATTTCTTTTGTAAGCTGGATTCTAAGTTTTATCCAGCACCACACTGAAGACTTTTGGGCAATTTACCATGCTCTCCATTTTGATTATAGGCTTAATTGAGGAGTATTGCAGCTCTACCCAAAAAACTTTGTATTTTGATCCTATCCATTGAAAGGGCTAGTGCTTTCAAAGCATTAGGCACAATGCATTTCACAAGATTTTATTTTTTAACTTTAATGGGCAAAGTCGAAGGGAAGTGATGCTTTTGCGAACTAGAGGTTATGTAATCAACCAAATTTAGGTAGCAATCTTCAACAACTTGATAAAATGTCAAACAAGAGTAACGTCAAAAATGTTATTGATAAAGTGATGAAATAATATTAAAAAATTAAAAATAGTTTTGAGATTGGGTGATTAGTTGAATACCAAGAGATGGATACACTGTTAAGAGAAAGTTTGGAAATGAAGCATTGAGAAGCATTTTCAAGGAGATGCTTATGAGCGAGAAGTTGTTATTTCCAACAACAAGAATCATTGATTAGTGAATAGGAAAATTTATGGTTAAGAGGACATGATTTAAGGAAACATTAAGAAGTGACTGTCTCTAGAGCAGAGAGAATGATCAATACAACAACAACAACAACAACAAAGCCTTAATCCCACTACGTGGGGTCGGCTACATGAATCCTTTTTCTCCATTGCGTCCTATTTAGTGTCATATTTTCATTTAGTTCTAGTAAATTAAGATCATTTTTAATACAATAAGCCCAAGTCTTCCTAGGTCTACCTCTGCCTTTCTTAACAAGTCGATTTAAAACATCTACTCTCCTAATCGGATCATCTAATGGTCGACGTTTAATATGACCAAACCATCTAAGACGACTTTCTCTAATTTTGTCTGTCACAGGAGCTACACCAACCCTATCACGAATATATTCATTCCACATTTTGTCTCTAAGTGTAAAGCCACTCATCCACCTAATCATTCTCATCCCGGCAACACTTAACTTATTATTATGCTTCTCTTTTAAAGGCCAACATTCAACGCCATAGAGCATTGCAGATCTCACCACCGTCTTATAAAATTTTCCTTTAAAATTATTACTTCATGAAAGGTCACCTATGCTTTTTTAGGTTATATTGCGACTATTGCAGGTATTCAGATAGACCTCACAAAAATCGAGGTCATTATAAGCTGAGTTGCACCGCAATCGTTCACTGAGCTGAGGTAGTTTCTGAGATTAGCATCGTTTTATAAGCGGTTTATCAGGACCTTCAACATTATCACCGTCCCGCTAAAGAATCTTTTGAAAGGAAAGGAGTTCACTTGAACAGTTGTCGCTCATATTAGCTTCGGCACACTGAAGGAGAATGTCACTTAGACACCAGTTCTAGCATTACTAGATTTCAACCAACAACTCTAGGTAGAGTGTGATGCATCTGGCGTGGGGATAGGGGCAACACTTAGCCAGGGGGGTCACCCCATTGCCTATTTTAGTGAAAGCTTAATGATTCTAAAAGGAAGTACTCAATATATGACAAAGCGTTTTATGTTATTATAAGAGCTTTGAAGCACTAGAGTCACTACCTACTGATGGGTGAATTCACGTTGTTTATGGATTACAAAGCCTTGAAATTCCTTAACAGTCAAAGCAAACTGAAGGGCCGACACGCCATCTAAGTGGAGTTTCTAGCATCATTCCAATTTGTGCTTAAGCACAAGACAAGAAGCCAAAATCGCATAGCGGACGCACAGAGCCGTCGCTACCTATCGATCACGTCGATGCAGACTCGAGTTGTGGGTTTTAAGGTGGTAAAAGACCTGTACGAGGCAGATGAGGACTTCAAAGAAATCCGGGAGCAATGTCAGTTTTATCGAGTGAATGGCTAGTTTTACAAAAATAAGTTATGCATTCATAGATGCTTGCTGAGAGAGGTCATTGTTCAGGAGAGCCACAGTGGAGGATTGGCATGAAATTTTGGCAAGGACAAGACTCTCACCCTCGCGAGAGCTTTTCTTTTGGCCTCAAATGACAAGAGATGTGGAGCGACACATCAGACAATGCAGGATTTGTCATATGGCAAAGACAAGAGGTAAAAATGCTTGGTTGTGCACTCCATTATCAGTACTAGAGGCACCTTGGATGGATGTTAGCAAAGACTTCGTGGTAGGTCTTTCGAGGACACAGAGGAACAAGAACTCTGTGATGGTTGTGGTGGACTGATTCTCGAAGATGTACCTTGCAACTTGACACTGGACGTGTCTCGTGCCGCCTATTTATATTTCTGAGAAATTGTGAGATTTCATCTAGTTTATACATATATTTTTCACTCTCCTTAGTATCTAATCTATTATAAAGATCATTAAAAACAGAATTTTTAGCGTCACAGATTGTTCTTTTAGACTCCCTGCGAGCCGTTTGATATTTTCTCCAGTTCTCTAAGCTTTTACATTTAAACCAATTTTTATAACATAACTTCTTATATTTTATCTTTTCTTGCACATTATTATTCCACCACCAACTATTTTTATTTGTAAATATTTTTCCCTTTGATTCTCCAAGAACATCTTTTGCTACATGTTTAATAGCGTTTGTTACTTTATCCCACATCACATTTGCTTCTTCATGAATATCCCAAATTTTGAAATCTTGAATTTTACTCATAAATTTAATTTTATTTGTATCTTTTAAGTTTCTCCATCTAATTCTGCAATGATGAGTCCTAGTATTTTTTATTTTACAACTCTTAATCTTAAAATCTAAAACTAATAAACGATGTTGGGTATTTAAATTTTCACTTGGAATGACTTTACAATCATTACAATCATTACGATCTCTTCTTCTCATAAGAAAATAATCAATTTGTGTTTTATTAGATCCACTCTTATAAGTAATAAGATGTTCATCCCTTTTCTTGAATAAAATATTAGTAATAACAAAATCAAACGCTAAAATCAATCAATGAACAAATTCTTAATTACTACCAGAACTAATGAGAAGAAGTGGACTCTTGTGCTTAGCTTTATAGCAATGTTAAATCAAACCATGAAGTTTGAACCATGATTTTTTTTATGATCTATAGCCAATCATACAACACTAAGTAACACAATTTGTGCTCTTTGCTTTACCTTATGATTCACAGGCAAGCGATGCACATATTACTAAATAGCGCCTTAAATAACATTAGAAAAAGCTAGATTTATATTCTTTGTTGGTGGACGAGGGAAACCTCCATCAATAAAATGCTTCATAGGCTACTTTGCCCAATAATAAATCTTTGAAAGATATTTGATCTCTTTAGTCAATATTTAATATTTTATAAAATACTACTCATGACACCAACACTTTAGTCTGCAAGTTCCCTTCATTCCTCTTTCATGAGCTTTCTCTTCAACGTTTCTACACTTTTATCATTTAAGGTGAGTAGAACATCAAAATTTTGTTAAATAAGAAGTGCTTTTTGAGTGCATCAGTGTAACATCTTCCCTTTTAAAGCTTTAATACAAGCAATATTATTATTCATAGATCGTTTAGGTAGGCTCCTTTGCATGAATTGGTTACAACTCTTGGTGGTGCTAATTTTGTGGACTGAGAAAAGGATGACTAGAACAATTATTATTTGGCTTAGAGGGACCTTCTTTCAAAGTATTTGGTGCATTTCTAGTTTTCCTAATTGTAGGTGACATTTACATTTTTCATCTCGAAGGCTTTGTTTGAGTGTTCTCCAAGACTGAGAAGCATATAGTTTTTTTTTAATATGTTTTACTTTTATTGAAGAACTTAGACATGATTACCTAAGGCTCCTAAAAATATTACGAGTGATGGACTCCATTTACTTAGCCTTCAAAGCAGGATTTGAGATTTATAATCATTCTTTTCTTTGTTTAGAGTCGAACAATTAATCCGTTCATTATTATCTACTGAAATTAGAGTGGACCAATAGAAATCAAGAAACATACATAAATGAATGGGCTGTTAAGGCTTCTTTGATTGTCATGTTTCTATAAGCTGATTCCTTGTGTAAGCTGGGTTGTAAGTTTGCTCCAACAGCTAACCTAAAATCTTTTAGCCCATTTATTATGTTATCTGTTTTGATTATAGGCCATTCTTATTTGAGGGGTATAATAATTCTACCTAAAAAAGTTTGTATTGTGATCCCATCCATTGAAAGGGCTAGACTCATAATTTTCTTACTGAATTTTGGAGATTTCTATCAATAAAAAGTTTACCCAGGTTGCTTTGGAAAATAGCAAATCTATGTCAGATAGTTGTTCTTTTCTAGTCTACTTTTGTTTTAGTGGTTAATGAAATACATTACACCAACACTATTGTCAATAAGTTCCCCTTATTCCTCTTTCATGAGCATTCTTCTATGTTTTCCGTTCATTCATCATTTAAGGTGAGTAAAACATCACAATCTTTTTAAATTAGAAGTTCTCCTCGTGTGAAGGTGTGTGCCATCTAAAACAAGCAATTTTATCATTCTAGCAAGCAATATGGTTGTTTGCAGTGCTTGCAAGAAGGGCTCTTTTAAATGACTTAGCTACAACTTTAGGCGGTGCTATTTTTGTGGACTTCACAAAATGATGACTAGAAAAAATATTGTTGGGCTTAGAAGGACCATCGTTCAAAGTGTTTACTTAGACATGGATCAATGACTTGCTAATAGTCCTGCTAGATAATCTATCTAAAGAAGCCTAAAGTTTATACTCTAGGAAGTGACCATTTAAGCTCCGTTTTTTCTAAATTTTCTTGGATGAAGCTCTGAACTCCTAAATGATTCTTCTTGGGAAATTTCCTCGCCAAAATAAAGTTGAAGTTACACTGATCAACTCCTTTCTATTGGTTAGCTCATGGACAACAAAGAGTTTTGTGCATAGGATGGAGAGTGGGAGAGAAAGTATCATAGGTGGAAGAAGAGAGTATTATAGAAGCAAGAAGATATACAAAAATTGCTTCATTACTTAATAATAAACCATATGATCTTTTTCTATAGGAAATATAGTCATGGAAAAAATTGCATTTCTGATTCCAGTCAAAATTTGAATTAATTAAATTTGAAACAATTTGAAGAGAATACAATAAATTTTATAGGACAAACTAAATGTTAGTATAAGAAAAAAATTACAAAAAATAAAAAATAAAAAATAAAAAAATAATAAAAAATAAATTATGACGTGAATGATACATGTATTGAGCAAATGGTTGCCATCAATTATGTTCACATATGTTGTGCATCTGATTGAAGAATGATTTATATTATTTTGCTACCCTATAATATTATGCTATACTCTGATTAAGTTTTGATGCATATTTTTTTTCTTTCATTCCTTTTGTCATTTTATTTGGAAACAAGCTTTGGTTGTGTTTTAATAATCTTGATATATATATTGTCCTGGCAGTTCTGATCTTCAACTAGCAATAGCCCTTCAGCAACAAGAGTTTGAGCAACAACCCCAACAAAATCAACCTCAGCAACAACCGCAAAGTACGCAACAGTCATCTGTAAGTGGCCGTTCAAAGCTTGTCACGGGTCCTCAGGTGTGCACTTTATAACTTCATTGATTTATATCAATTTTTCATTTTCTGCTATTTTCAAGATTATAATATGGATTTTGTTTATTTGATTTTAAAATTTTTTTATAGTAGATCACTATATCGTTTCATGTTTGTTATCACACATGTATAATCATTATTTTATGTATCTTGCTAGTAAGGAATTGATCTAGAATACATGTTTATGACTATTAGTTCGCCACTAACAGATTAATTTCCTAGCAAGTGGAAATGGAATGGAATATAAAAGTTGAAATAGATCAACGATAATGTTCCATGGAAAAATTTTGTATGCATCTCTTCCCCTTTTTGTCTGAAGATAAGCCTAATATCTTTGACTATATGTTGCCTACTAATTTATTATTAGAGTCACCTACTAATTTATTATTTTTTTGCCCATCTGTAAATCCATAATTTGTTAGCATGTTGTGGTGTAGATGAGGAAAGAACGGCATAACTTACCAATCACATTCTAGATTTTTCCTAATGGGAATTGTTGAAAACCACTTTAGTGTAGATCTGAAACTTGAGGTTTTCAAAAGACGTAAAAATTCATTAGATACGAACTCAAATTTCTTTGATGAAATTGAAAAATGATGGAAATCAATTCAGACAAAAGGCCTGGCATTCTGCCAAATATTGATAACTAGAACTAATTATCATGAATGCCATTTACAAATGTTAAACTTCATGCGATCAATAGAAATTCAGACTAGAAAATATGACTGCAATTTCACTTTAGGAAATAATGAAAAAGCGCTAATGAAGAAAAAGTGCAAGGGAAAAAATTGCCAAGGAAAATAATTTCCATTCTTGTATAATGAGATTGCCTCTATAAAAATTCTTCAAGTTTTTCATTTGATTGAAGATTGAAATCTTAAAAGGAGCAATTTACACATTTATATGAAATTTTATTAGGCCATACAATTTTCTTATATGCCTTGGATCATTATTTATTATCATAAAAGTGACTTGATAACAATTTTCACCATCTTCTTATGAAGGCAAGTCATAAAAGTATCATACTTGGAAGTTGTGAAAACATTTGAAAGGTTGCAAGAAAATTGCCGTCCCTTGCCTAGCCTCGAAGGAACAACAATAGATCCGCTAGGAGGGGAAGTTATTGACTTGTTAATCGAAGGAGTCACATCGATACAATATTGTAAGATCTATAAAAGAGGCACACAAGCCATAATTTAAAGGAGGAAAGCTACCACATTTTTTTATGAATTGTTCAATGACATCTCCCGAAAGACCCAGTCATAGCTATTGGATTTTTAAAAAAAGATTTTCATGAATTATCACCTTCCAATATATGTTTCAACTTTGTGGGACACATTTGTATCTATTATCATTAGTGGGAACGATTTCATTACCAATAATAGTTTCAAGATTATGGTTAGTGTTGAAGTTTGGAAGATATATGAATGATTGGTTGTATGTAAACAAAATTAGATGTGAAAAAAGGAGGATTTAAGGTATTAGTTGATGATTCATGCTATAAGGTTTAAGTTGATATATATATATATATATATATATATGCTTCTTTAAGTTAATGTAATCTAAATGGGTTAAAGAGTAATCATGATGAATTATATAACTTGGATTCATCTATATAGTTGAAATTTTAATTTTCTTGTGTTTTTAATGCAATTGTCATTAAGAAATTCACATAAACGTTGATATAATTTGAATTTCTTAATATATTACTTTGGAAAACAAGAAACCAAGAATTGAAAATAAAATTGATATCATATTGTTCAACGCATGTAGAGTTAGTTCATGATTGGTTGCATGATTAGTTTTTTTTTTTTTTTTTAATTGATTTATCTACCTCTACATGTATGATATGAGGGTTTAAAGTGTCATTAATTGATTCATATTCTAATAGAGATTTGGGCTCAGCTATAATCTCATATTGAAATTTAGCTTTAGATATAGGTTTTGACTCATGCTTATATGTTGGTTTTGCGATAGGTATATTCTCATTGGTATATATTTTAGTGTAGGTTCTGATGCAATTCAAATTTAGCAGTCGTCTGTGTGAGTAATTTGTGTAGCATAATTCTTTTTCTCCATGCTTTATTTATCGTAAAAAGATATATGAGGGAAAGAGTATTGCAACCTTTCTAAATTGTGCATTCAATGGAAGTTCAGACAGGGCTTTGGGAAAATTTTGATTATTACAGCTATTGTTTGATTCTTTTGTGGTTATTTTGTATATAACGCGTCAACTGAGTCGTGTACTACATAGGCAATAACATGAGTTCAACCAAGAATTTGTGCTCTGTTGTGTTAAACACTTCGAACAAATTAGCATAAATAGAATAGAAGTCCAGTTTGTTTGAGTGACCTAACAAAAATTGAGGAGTAATTCACTTTGACTAGGGGTCTAAACGAGTTGAGTCAGGCTTGAGCCGCCCTTGACTTGAGCTTGAGCTCTGATTAATTAATTGAGTTAGCTCACGGGTTGACTTGTTTATTATGAATAAAATGAGCTTTTATGAGATAATTAATAAAGAATCATTCAATATAAAATATTATTTTTTTGATCATTTTTAATAAATTAAAAATAGTTGTCCTAAATTTTAATATATTTTGAGTATATATATTTTATATTAATTATTTTTCAAAAGAGCTCACAAGTTGAGTTAGGACTATTTTGAGGTTGACTTAGTAGTTCATTGAGCTTGGGTCCTGAGCCACTTATCAAGCAGAGCTTGAGCCAACTCATTAGTAGGCTTTGCTCAGTTTCGCTCTCAACTTAGGCTTTGGAAAGTGAGCTGTTAGTAAAATTATTATAATGTTATTAGAAGAGTGAAGCTTTGCTCTAATGGGCACACATGCTATATGATCTTGGAAAATAGCAACAACCTGTATAATATGATTACAATAATAATCATGGTAAAGTAATACCTTTTGAGCATCAGTTTAAAACTGTCAAATTATTTGATATGCTTTATTTAAAAAAAAAAAAGACCTGATGCGATGGAAATTATTTCAAACACTATTATTTTGTGCAATTTCTTTCAATACACCTGGTAACACCAGATATCAATTCTCTTCAAGTAGTTGCATAATAATAATAATAATATTATTATTATTATATTGCAACTACTTGAAGAGAATTGATATCTGGTGTTACTTTGGACCTGCCATGACAGATCAGTTGCTTAAATGATCTGGTATTCAGAAATGAAGGAAACGCGTTCCTTAGTTGTCACTTGAGCTCAATTTACATTCCATTTTTTTCTTTTCATACTTGCACATCTTGACTTGTATAAAAGATCAAGAGCATTTGTCTTTTCACTCACTCTTCATGTTACTTGAAAATTGCAGGTACCTAGGAACACCAATTTGACGCAGAAAAGTGAATCAAAACTGAAAGAAAAATGTGCCATAATGTAAATAAAGGTTTTTAAATCTTTACAATATTCGCGTCCACTGTTCATCTTGTATTACATGATGCAAGTTTTGATGTAAAGAATAATATTACAAACAATGTTTGCAATATAGATTTGGTTATGTCTCCAATCCATTCATCTTTTGATTTGCATATGCACAGTGGTCCTCTCTAATAAATAAGTTTTTTTTTTTTTTTTTTTTTTTTGGTGTTAATCACAATAACTTATAAACATGTGTTTATAATATATATCAGATTTGTCTATTCAATGTCACAAAAATATCATGTTAAAGTTTGATAGATACATATAACATAACTGTGACAATAAAAAAAAAAAAAAACAAAAAACCTTCTAAGCATGGACTGCCAAGATGGTGGTGTCGATTAACGCAGGAAATAGTGCTACAAGAAGTGGGTTCTTCCATAGGCAGCTCATGAAATCATCCCGATCAATTTTTCCATCCTCGTCCACGTCAAACAAATGAACCAATTGATTGAGCTGTAATGAAATGAAAATAATAATAATAAATTATCACTAAAATATATTTGACGAATTTAATTAGGATAATAATTAATTTTAAAAGTATTCGGAACATCTAAAAATTATTTTAAACGTTTTTAAAAAAATAATTTATTTTTATAGAAAACAAAAACTGATCCAAACTTGTCTTAAATTCTTACAGATTCTTTGTCGGTTGATGGCATCATTGACTGAAGCTTATCACGAAACTACGACCATTAAATGTGTTAGAAAAAGCTAAATTATAAGCAGGGATATGAAAGAGTGAAGGATGGCAATAGTAACCTGTTCTATTGTTAAAGTTGAACAACTTGATTCACTGTCACAGAATGTGTTGAAAGCTGTTTCACAAGCTCTCATGAATAAAGGCTGCTTCCTAACGTGAGCTGATCCGATCAAGAACTGCGAGTTTGTGCACAATTTAGTTCTTATTGAATCAAATGCAAATATATGCATGGAAAAAATGGGCGTATGCTGCTTTCTGTACGAATTCTTTTGCCAATAACAAGATATTTACATTACAGCAAGATTATAATTCCTTGTATCTAGTTTGGTAGAATGAGAATAGTTACCAAAAAAAAAAAAAAAAGAAAAAAAAACAGTAAATGAGAATAGTTACCAAAAAAAAAAAAAAAAAAAACAGTTAACAGTAGTTATTTAAGGGATGGACACTGCAGATACATTTTATTTTGACGAATTAAATTAAAAATAAACTTAATGCAAATAAAACTTCATGCCACCAAATATAAATTCTCTTCAGCATCACCGTTATTATGAGCACAATGTTACGAACAAAAAGTCTCACATCGGCTAGGTGTAGAGCCAAAGAGCAGTATTTAAGTCCTGAGCTGCTCACCACTCTTAAAAGCTCTTTTTGGGAGATGACGAGGGAGTCACATGATTGGGTGGAGGAGATTGTCACGGACAAAAATTCCCACGTCAGCTAAATGTAAGACTGAAAAACAGTATTTCAGTCCTAGGTTGCCCACCACCCCTAAGAGCTCTTTTGGGAGGTGACAACAAGCTATAGTTTATCTTAAATTTTTGAATTCTAAATTAAATTCTAATTTAGCATTCAATCCTGTTGAATTCTATTATATTCAAATTTTATTGCACAAATTGTAAGTTATGTTAGCTTTACATTTTTTCTTCAAAGTCTGTCAAGATTAATTTTGTCTTTGCTATTGCATTTTCTTCCTCTATTACATACGCCAAAACCAAACAAATGGGCTATTTGTTAATGAGCAAGATTCGAGTGAAGTATGATTTGATAAATTCTAAGGGTATTAAAACATTGTGCCATTGTTAAATCTGAGCTAAATCTCAACTGATCGTCTAACTGCTATAAGATTTAAGGATTTAAAGGGCAATAAATACTCAACTCATTAATCGGAAAAGGTAAAAATTACTATTAATAGGCTAATTAATGCTTAAATAGAGTAATTATGAAATAATTGGGTTTACTTCAACTAATTTAAAATGAATTTTAAAACTAACTAAAAAATTAGACCAACTTATTAGAGAAATTAGCAGTAAAAAAATTAATTTAAGGAAGAATTATGATTTAGTTTATTTTCTAATGCTTTAATGAACTAATTAATTATCAAGTACATTTAATCAAAGCTATTTTAAAATATATTTATCAATTAAATTATTAATCAATAAAAATGATCAGTAATTAGTTAATTGTAAATTTAAGGCTAATTATACTTTAATTAAGCTACTCATTGTTAAAATAGACTAATAATGAATTAAATAGATTTGGCATGAATAATTAGGCTAATCATAGTTAATTGTAAATTTAAGGCAAATTATACTTTAATCAATCCAAATCATCAGTAATTAGTTGTTACTCAAGATAATCAATCCATGTCATTACTGATTCCGCTTGCAGTATCCGTTTTGCAGATTTGGTAGGGTGTTTTACATTTTAGAGTCTTTACATGTTTCAAGATGTCATATTTTGTTAATTATTTTCCTCCAATAAATCTGAGGCTTTCCTAACTCATTTTCATTATTCGGTTCACTCACACCAAGGTTCTAAGGTGTACGAGTGTTTGGTTTAAGTAAGGAGGTTCTGTCCGTGGGCGTATGAGCCATTTAGTTCACTACAACTCCCAATAAGTTCAAATCATTTACTGTTAATGGTGTGTGCACGGCCCTGAACTCAAGATCTTGAGGTTAGACATAGAGTTGTCAAACTCTAGGCAAAGGCTGCATACGATTATTCAAAACTTGCTCTTTTCAGTAATAGCACATGCATACATTTCATTAGTTAAATTTTATTTTAACTTATATTTAGTTTATTCATCAAGTCATGCTTATGTTCAAATTTTTTTGTCTTCTTTAAGTTCTATTATTTGTAGACGTGTTTAGTATTTATTTCGACAATCTTTTGATATTTGCCCTGAGTGGAGGGCACTTACATGAGTGCTAAGGGGGGTTCTCATGTGGTGGGCTCTCTGGGTCGGCCCGGCGCATTATGGATCGGACCATTTTGACTGACCCACCTCCTCATCTCATGCCGAAATTCCTCCCCTACAAAATCCTCTCCTTCCTACTTTGATTGAATTTCAAATTCTTGCCTATTCCTTCCACTCTTTTTTAATTCTTATTTGTTTCTCTACCTACCTAGCTTAGCTCCTGCTTCCATCTATTTATAATTTTTTGTATGCTGATCACTAAACAATTCTTGATCATTTTTTGATTCCAGGCGTGTCTTCCAGGCATTCCATCTTTGAGGGTCGTATCCGACGGCGAGCGTTGCTACAACCGTACCTCGCCCAAGGTGGCATGTATCTCCCCTCCATTCCTTCCTCCCCTGTCAATCACTAGGCCTTCCTCTGCGCAGAGAGGCTGCTGGTCCCGCCCTTGCTCGCCTCAGCCGACCGTAGCTCTCGCCAACATCACATATAGTCCGCTCTAGCGAGTTTAAACATCTTTTAAGAGCATCAATCTTGTCAAATCCAATCTTAATAATAAGAAAAATTGGGCCAACTTAACTCTTGTGAGAAACAAAATTGGCTGCGTTACGTGGGACTTGTGACTCTGCTATATAAGGAAAATGAAAAAATTGAAGAATATTGTGCAAGACGTTAGCTTTAAATTTTAAATAAAGTATGCAAAATTTAAAAATGAGTATATGCTTTTAAAAAAAGTTGCACATTTCTCAAAATAGACCTTTGGTCCGCACAATGTTCTCAATTATTAGATTTAAATGTTTTGCCACTTCATCCCATATGCTCATGTTTATCATTTGATGATGTCATGCATTTCAATGTATATGCACAAGACAATTGTGCGATTTTCAGTATACTTGCATGATGCATATATATGTAATTTTTGGTGTAATTTATGGATGCACAATTGTATGTTTTTCAAGGCATTTTGAAAGAATTATACTGAAATACGTGACATGATTTAAAAATATTTGAATTTTTTTATTTGCATAATCTTTAAGATAATTGCTAGGATTTCGATCCATCATATTGAAGTTGAAAATAACCTTACGAATTCACATATGACCATATATTTTTAAGACTTTGATTGTTTGTGTGAATGTTTTTAATCAATACATATAATTTTATTTTTGAAATTTAAAATAATATATTATGCTCACTTGCACGTGTTGCGAAACTCATAGCATAAATCTTTTTTGGTACTTTATAACGTAATGTTTCATCCTTATGCATTTGTATTTTAGTCATATGGAACCAATTCTTCTCCTATAAATAAGAGGCCCAACCCTTAGTTCATCTCACCATTCAAGTGTTTAGGGTTCTCCGAAGATTTTTTAGTGATCGAGATTGGTTTTGATCGAAATCTAAGTGTGTTTTTAAGTTCTTCAATGGTTCCTTGTAATTTCTTATTTTGTTTTCCAAGTTATTTTAATCTCCTTTTATGTTTCTATAATTTTATATTTTGTTCACTCTAGTTTTTTTTAGTAATATAGTTTGAAGTCTTATTTTCATTCGAGCCATTGTTAGTCCAAATTTCAACAACCTTCCGACATTTTTCTCTCATAGGGAGCATCTTTGAGGGTTCTTTGAACATTTTCTCCCGACCAATAAAAAAACTACACATGGAGGCTATCCATACATGCTCGGTCATCTTCCCCCATAACGGCCTCATCTTCATCTCAAGTATTTTAGAGCTTTTCAATGCATCAGTGCAATCTGTTTTACAAATAAACAATTCACGTGATGTCACATATATAGCATATCATTTTTGTTGTGTGGCTATTTGGTGATGTGAGGTCATTTTTGAGTAATTTCAACAGTTTTGACGCATCATCATAATCTCTTTTCCAAATGAGCGGCATTTAGGCAACTTCAATGGTGATTAAATATCTTGACTATGATTTACGTGCCATTGTCATCATCCTTATCATGATTTATTGAATCGGTTAAAGGGGCCTTTCTTAATAATTTCAATGCCCTGGACACTAGTTCATTACACCAATGGACAACATTTTGAGTGATTTCGAGTAAATTGTTTTTTTTATCGTGTAATGTGTTGATCAAAGCAGATGTCCTCATGGAATGTGAGGCTTTAGCCATGTCTGTGAAATCTGCTCTATAATAAAAGCATTGCTTGAGTTATTTTAGGTATAACCAACACTTCATGAATTCTTCTTATATATGATGCTAAAACTACATCTGTTATCTTCGGTCCATTCGATTGTGTTGAGTTATGCAGCTCGTATCAAGGTGAACAACAGATCAACGAGATGATTGAAATATTATAACAAAGCCTAATAACTAGCAAGTTGAGCACCCATATAAAAAAGGAAAATAATTAAAGTTAGTTATAAATGTCTGTTTGAAAATTGATTTAAGTTAGATAATTATTTCATTTAGATCTAAAAAATTTCTTACGCAGCTTCATGAACCAAATACTTGAAGCTATTATGAATATTCATCTTTACCTGACGAAAAGCAATAGATCCCCTCCTTTCCACATCAAGGTAAGTAAAAATCTGCCAAGAATGGATTCCAAACTTCACTATTAGAACTTAACAGGTTAAATATTCAACCATAGCAAAGAAATGAACAAAGAAAGAATCAGGTCATTTATTTACAACATTAAGAAAGAATCAGGTCATTTATTTACAACATTAACACACAAATAACTTCAAATGCTAGAAGTTTCAGCTATACGATGCATCACACATATGTTACACAAACTATATTTGGAATAATTGCTAGCGCTTTGCATATACATACAAACAGAATTTCATTACGCAAACATTATAACAATAATTCTTCTACTAACATAGGAAAACTTTAACTCTATTAGTTCAGAATTGATAGGTATATGCAGTTAATAGTTAGTAGCAATGAGAGCAGAAAAGCGTGCTACTTGTTTAAGAAAGGAACAAAATTGTCCTGCAATTAAGTGGTTTGTGATTCAGATAATTCTGACCTCGCCTTTTTTACATTTCATTCTGTTCATTAAATCAATGTTATTACAATACCGTCTGCTAACTGGAAGTAGTAGAGCACTCCTAAACGTGTCCTAAACAGTTAGGTCAAGTCTAATGATGATGACGTTCATTCCAGAAATCATTTTGCTTTAATTAGTGTCATAAAATTAAGCAGAGCAGCACCTCCCGTTCTCCTTTGCCTTTCTCCCTATTTTTGTAACCGTTTTGCAGAGGTCACTCTGACTGAGAAGTTCAGCTGGAATGGCATGATGAACGGGAAAATTGCTTGTTTGTAAGTTACTCCACCACACTATCAAAAAGTAAATTACCTTTACACTCGGTGTTAGATACTCCTGGAATAAGTGAAACTTTTGAAGGTTGCAGCACAATCAACTGCTGTCAAGTTAATACCTCTTCTAACATGCTCATTAGTTAAATATCAAATGGAAGGAAACGTTCCAAACACTCATCAGGGCTTATCTTATGTATGGACATATAGCTTCAAAATATCTAGAGGGCAAAATAAGAAAATTTGCAGCAATTTTAAGCAACGAAAAAAATCAAGATATTTGTATCGTGATGTTGCTGTGTCATCCGATTGTTGATGATTAAGATTAACTTTCTCTACGTATGTGCATTAAATTGAAATTAATTATTTCTTTATATCCATAGCTATTATGCAACAAGTCCTTAAGACTGGTCTAGGCAGTTAGTTATTGGCAATTTTTAGTCTTGTACTTCGTAAAAAATTGAAATGAGTTGATGAAAATTAATCGTAGCTCATAGTTTTGACATTCTAATTTCTTTTTGTTTGTGTACTTACAGGTTTTGAGAATTGTGAACTTTTGCTACCTGAGAATACTACACAAATTGACTTTACTTTATTTTAAAATATATTACTCCAAACAATGCGTGCACTAATGAATTTAAATCACCCACATGTGCTCCACCATTGCTCTAAACTCTCAATCACATAGTCTGAGAATGCTGCATGCGATGACTTGAAAATATTTTAGATCTCTTGCTCCAAATAATATGTGCACTAACGAACTTAAATCACCCTCATAAGACTTAAGAAAGTTACATGACCTAAGAGTATTGCCTGCTAACCAAAATTATTTTAAAATATCTTGTTTGAAACAACATGTATATTAATAAAGTTAAATCATTCGCATGTGCTCTGGCTCATATGCCAAGTGCTTGATTATATGGTCTGAGAATGCTGCGCGAGATAACCTAAAATTCATTTTAAAATATCTTACTCCAAGTACCGTATACATTAATGAACTTAAGTCATCTTACATGTGCTCTGACCATGTGCTAAATGCTTGATTATATGATCTGATAATACTGTGTAGGTTATAAAATAAAATAAGCTCTAATTATACTGCTCTGAGAAGTATGCACATATCTTTAAACATTACAAAAATCTCTTCTGGAAAAAATAAACTCAAAATCAATAAACAATACATGCTCTCAAATGGGCCATCTTATTCATAGGGCAGAGTCATCAGTCCTACCTCAAATTGTTCGATCCTCCTCTCAATATGGACCGGAATTACAAAACTAGCCTCACCATCTTAGCCGATTTGCTCCTCATACTTAATAAGTTTACAGTTGATAAAAATGAGCCCCTCATGGTCAATCCGATCTTTCTTCTTACAAGGATATAAGTTGATAGGACTGATGCAATAAAGATATTAAGAGATAATTTCCCATTAAAATTGCAATTATGATGATGAAATGGTAATCATTGATGATCGTCGTGTTGAATGTAAATTTCAACATAAGTGATCTATTTTATAAATTACAACAATTAAATTACAAATGAGTTTAATAATTCAAATCTCATCAATGATAGCCATGCTGAATATAAATTTCAACTAGAGGGATCAATTTTTAAAATTAGATCACTTAAATGGCAAATAAAGTTCAACAATTCAAATTTTCCAATTATAGCTATGTTGAATGTAAATTTCAACTAGAGCAGATATGTTTAAAATTAGAGCACTCAAATTGCAAATAAAATTCAATAATTCAAATTTCTTCAATGATGGTCAAGTTAGATATAGATCTCAACTGAAAAATTTATTCATCAAATTAAGCTTTCAAGTTATAAAATCTAAAAACTATTTAAATGAAATTATATCATTAAAGCTAAAAGTAAATCCCCATCCACCTCCATAATAATTTGTCAAAGATCACAAATTTATGATTAACTTAAGCTCACAAATTAAGTACACTAATACATTTACGCTAAAAACAATCTCATGCTAGTAAGGAAGTGACTCAAGTTGTATATTAGTGTGGCTTGACTTGAGTAGTTAGCCTTCTAAAAAAGTAATTTAGCAAGTAGGCTTCACTAGATTATGGTCATAGTTGTAGTTTGTATGTCCCCTTGAAGTTTGTTGCAACTATTTATCGTGAATCACAATAGCTATCTAATAGTGTATAAAACCCTATTTAAGCTAAAGTTGATTTAAATTAATCCCCTTAGACAAACGTCCACATATTGTTCCCTTAGATAAAGCAACCCATGGTTGTTAATAATGACTTTTCTATTAGATTAGGTTGACTGCATTATCTAGTTATGTAGATCATGGTCCATGATAACCTAAAACGAATGAACTGTTGGATCTTAATAACATATTAAATATACTAATACATTTACGCTAAAAAAAATGTCTCATGCTAGTAAGAATGTGGCCCAAGTCCTCTATTAGTGTAACTTGAGTAGTTAGCTCTATAAAAATAGTTATAACCAGAACCTTCTGACCGAGTGATTTAGCAAGTAGGCTTCACTAGATTATTGTCATAGCAGTAGTTTGTATGCTCCCCCAAAATATTTTTTAAACTTTTTATTGTGAATCACAATAACTATTTGATATTATATAAAACGTTAAAGTTGATTTAAACTAATCCCCTTTGACAAACATCCACATATTGTTCCTTTGGATAAAGCAACCCAGGCTGTTAATAATGATTTCTCTATTAATTCCTGCTCAAATCTTGTTTTAAAGTATCTCACTATTTTTACTAAATAGGTTTTAGTAAATTTTGTAAATTCAAAGTTTAAAAATCCTAAGAAGGTTAAAATGCCTATGTTATCTACATAATATATACTGAGGGTTATAACCGTCATTAATTCACAGCCAACACTTTCATAACTGTGTTTTTTCAAACAGATTAATTGCTTCTGAAACACCAACTTCTTAACAACAACTTTTGAACTAAGATTTCATACAACCACAGTCAAAACAAACACACCCTAGGTTGACTACATTATTTCATTATGTAGATCATGCATGGTCCATGATAAACCGGAAAAATGAACTATGGGATCTTGATCGGGTTGATCATCATTCCTTTCAGCATATGCAATAAGCTTCATGTTGATAGTTTTTTATAATAATAAAACTTAAATTGTTGTTGTTATATTCCGAGTAATTAGCACCTTAATAACTAGCCTTAATCGAAAGTGTTATCCTGTTATCAGGATGGGTGATTCACAGAGACTTGCACTTATTGGAAACCACAAATCATAAATAAAAAAGTCCTCATGAAATAAGAGTGAAATATATGGGTATTATTTTATCTACAATATAATTTAGCTTCTAAAAATTTGATGTGGGCCCTCACATAAAATTCTCTCAATCATCTTCAATGAAGAATGAGGCATAAATTTTAGAGCTCGCATCTATTTTTACGAAAAATCAATTATACTTCGACAAAAATTAAATATGATGACTTGAATAAAAATTTCTTGTAGCTCACATCTTCGCTTTTTCTACTTACTTTAGGCGATTTGAATGAATTACTTTAAGGATCCAACAGTTCAAAGGCATCGAGGATTCAATACCGATCACTCCAACAGTTCAAAGGCATCGAGGATTCAATACCGATCACTTACACTATATTGATATCTTTTCATTTGTTTCTTTAAATTTTCTATTGAATCTACAATTCTTGACCTACCATGCATCAAATTGTACCAATGTAAATTTGTCATCACTCTGAGGGCCTGTTTGGGACAGCTTCTGTTTGTTTTGCTTTTGAGACGGCCACCACAGTTCTGTCAAAGGAATTACTTTTTTGTTGCTTTTAAGAAATTTCTGTGATAAGAAGATGTTTTTTTCAACCTACTATTAAAGTGTGATGACTACTACAAAGCTGCAGTCTGACTTTTATAAATAAAATTAATTTTTAATAGCCACCACAGTCTTTCGAAAAATACTTCTTCTGCAGCAGCTTCACAGCTGCTTCACAGCTGCTTCTTTAAACAACTGCAGCAGCTGCCCCAACAGACCCTAACTATGATGCCATCAACACAAATTTTGGCATAACAATGAGTATCAGTAGCATTCAAATTAAATCAAATATGTAGTATTAAATACATCATCCGGAACAGCAATTGAATAATCAGCTTAAATTTCAATAAAAGAAATGCATGGCTGTACAAGTGACGTGAGCTTTCTGAAGAAAAGAAATCTACTGGCTCGGCGCTTATGGCAGAAGATAACTAAAGCTGAGAAACATCATGTAAAGCAAGGACCAGCTTAATTAATCATAAAAGAGGAAGGGAGAAAATAAAAGCTAGCAAACAAAAATAAAATATCTAACCTTTTTGGATGGAAGATTGTCTCCCAACCCAAAAACAGTACAAAAACCACGAAATTTAACTAGCCCGCTGTCCAAAAAAAGAACAATAAATCATCAACAACGCTTTATATAGCATAAATACAGGGGTTCATTACATAATATAACCAAAACATAGCACATGCAAGCAAAAATACCAAAGGTGATGAAATTTAATACATATGTAAGTAGCAAAAAGATGAAAATTTAACGAGCATGCTACCAAAAGCAAGATTCAAGCTACTAAGAAGATCATCAGATCAGGGGTGTTACTTTGGTCAATTGAGCCGGATGTTTACAACACAAAATTTACTTTTACAGACACTATTCAATCCAAATTGTGTAGCCTGCTTGCTAAACAAGTTATACTAAAAAAGGATTACTTTCAAATAATGATGATGGTAGGCTTCCTTGGAAAAGTCTGATATAATTGGGTCATTTTAGGTTTTGTGGTCATATATATTTTACTATACTTAGCAGCGATATCGAGTCCAGCAATGTTATTCTGCTCATTTAGGGCCCATGGTCAGTTCAGACTCATCAAAACCCTAAGGTACATGGATCATAATGGGGCTAGTCAAAATTTGATACGAACCAGTCTATCACACTGGCAACAAGTTGGTTGTGGGTCAGAATACATTTGAGATCCCTAGGTAAATTAACTACATAATCTGATGATACATATTAACAGACATTAGGTTTCAGCTTTGTTATATGAAACAAAAAATACAATGTGCAGGCAGATTTGATTGATCTTATCTTTGCTAACATTCTATGGCTTTCCTATTAAAACAAAACTGCAAAAACAATTCTGCTATGCAAGAATTTAAAGTTGCATACTTGTGTTTGTAGCAAAAACGAAAAACAGGTTCGATGGACCAATGCAGAGTTAACATTTAATCGATAAACGGTGTTTCTTGTATCTAGGAACTTTTACCAATCAAATCAGACGGTTCTTATTTCTACTAACACCCCTTCGTATTGATCACTTAAATAACTACTAATATTATCATCAAAAGTACTTTGCAAGTCCTTGAAACACTTCAAACTCTTCTTGTTGGTGGATAAAATAACTATTGAGTCGCAACAAGCTTCTGATTTTGATTGGAGAAGAGTGGCGACTCACTCTGGTGAATAAAAGATTTCAAATTCTTCAAATTAGAAGGGGCAGAAATAAGAAGAAAATCAATCACCACTCACACATTTTCACCATGCTACGAGCTAAACATTAATAATGAAATAATTGTATATTTTTTTCCTACTGTTGTATCTTTCATTTTCGCTTTGGCATTCCAGCTAAATGCCTTTAATATACTAATTTCATTATCTAATAAATATACTAGTTTCATTATCACCTTGGAGTGCTCTAGTATTAGTCGTCAAGAAGCAGGATGGATCCATGTAGATATTTATTGATTACAAAAAGTTGAACAACTTGACAATCAAGAAAAAAAATCATTTACCCAAGATCAATGATCTATTTGATCAATTAGAAGGTACTACTGTATTTTACTATTTTTACGAATTCATCTGAGACCGGTATATCATCAAGTCAGAGTCAAGGAGACAGTTATAACAAAGACAACTTTTAGGACCAGGCATGGTCATTATGAATTCCTAGTTATGCCTTTTGACTTAACTAGTGCTCCAATTTTCATGGACCTGATGAATCAATCTTCAAGCCGTATGTGGATTAGTTTGTTATTTCTTTTATTGATGATATTTTGATTTATTTAAGAACTGATGAGGATCATGTTAAGCATCTGAAGATTGTATTGGAATTGTTGACGCAGAATCAATTATATTTGAAATTTTCAAAATATGATTTCTGACTGTGGAATATTGCATTCTCGGGACACATTCTCAGTGGATAGAGAATCTGTGGATCCTCAGAAGGTGAAAGCAATTGTGGAATGACTAACTCCAAAGAATGTTATAGAGGTACGCAACTTCCTTGGATTGAATGGATATTACAGGTTACAGGAAGTTCGGAAAACGGCTTTAACAGATAGCTATGTTGTTTTCAAAGCTGATGAGGAAAGGCATTCAATTTGAGCGGACAACAGAATGTGAGAACAAGAGTTGAAGAAACATTTGACCACTGTACCGGTTTTAACTATTCCATCAGGCACGAAGGGATTTCAGCTTTACAACGATGCATCATTGTGAGGCTTGAGTTATGTTCTAATGTAAAATAAAAAGGTAATAGCCTATGCATCCATGAAGCCACATGAAAGGAACTATTCGACACATGACTTGGAGTTAGCTGCTGTCTTGTTTGCTCTCAAAATTTGGCGACATCATTTGTATGGTGTGAAATGCCAAGTATTAACTGATCATCAAAGTGTGAAGTTCATTTTCACACAAAAAGAGCTGAATTTGAGGCAGCAAAGATGATTAGAGCTGATCAAAGTCTATGATCCAGATATACAATATTGCCCTGACTAAACAAATATAGTTGGCGATGCATTAAGCTGTAAATCCATAACCAGTGCAAGCTGGATTATCACTCAGAGGCTAGAGTTGATTGAGAAAATTGACGCCTTAGTTAGAAGTCAAAAAATCATATGATAGCGGGTATTTACATCAGTTTTTAATGCAACCAACGTTAATTGATAAAATTAAAACAGTTTAGAAAGATAATAGTGAATATTTGAATCTTCTGAAGCAATTTCAATCAGAAAAAATGTCAGATCTGACAGTTAATGAAAATGGTGTTATAAAAAATAAGCTGCAATTATGAGTACCTGCTGATTCTGATTTGAGACAGAAAATTCTGCAAGAAGATCAACACAATTCATCCAAGCAACACAAAATCTATAAAGATTTGAAGTTGGCCAGGTATGAAAAAAGATGTTTCTGAATATGTATCTCAATGCCAATCTTGTTAGATTCTAAAGGCTAAGCATTAGAGACCCAACGGATTTCTTTAATCGTTGCTCATACCAGAATGAAAATGAGAAGAAATTGCTATTAGATTTTTAATGTGATTTCCTCGGTCCAGATAGAGCCATAACAGTATTTGGGTTATTATTGACAGACTAACCAAGTTAGCTCACTAATTGTCAATAAGACCAACGGATTCAATGAAAAAGTTGGTCAGATTATATGTCAAGGAAATCATTAGGTTGCATGGAATTCCAAAAGTTATTATTTCTGATAGAGACAGAAGATTCACATTCAGGATGTGGAAAAACATTCAATAAGGTTTAGGTACACAGTTATATTTCAGCCCTGCATTTCATCCACAAACTAACAGACAATCAGAAGGAACAATTTAGATATTGAAAGATTTATTAAGGCTTTATGTTCTCGACCTTGAAAGCAGTTGGCAAGATCACGTTCCAATGATCAAGTTAGCCTGCAACAACAACTATCAGTTCAATATTAGAATAAATTATTATGAAGCGCTATATGACAGAAAGTGCAGAACTCCACTCAGTTGGGTTGAAGTTGGTGAAAGTTAAATGTTAGATCCCAAGCTACTTGATAATACCACAAGAAAAAAATTAGATTAATCAGAGATAGATTGAAAGCTGCTTAGGATAAAACAAAAATAGTATGACTCAAAGCACAAAACAATCCAATTTGAAGTTGGAGATTATGTATTTCTGAAAGTCATGCCAATGAAAGATACAACTAGATTCGGTCATGGAAGCAAATTGGGTCCCAGGTAAATCGACCCTTTTGAGATTATATAAATGATCGATCCAATCGCCTACAAATTAACATTATCTACAAATATGTCATATATTCATGATATAGTCATATTTCAATGCCGAGAAATGGGTTACAAATTCAGATCATAGGATTTCACTTGAAATACAAAAAAAAAAACGACTTATATTGAAGATCCTGAAATTATTTTAGAAATCGATGTTAAAAAAACTGAGATATAAACATAATGGAAGTACGGGCTTGAAAAGAAAACAACATAGGAAAAAGAAGAAGAAATGCTACAAAAATATCCCTTATCAAGTAAAAAAATTTTGAGGACGAAATTTTTATGAGGGGGGAGTCATAATGCCAAAAAATTGAGAAATTAAAATATTGCAAATTTTAAAAGTATCCTAAATTTCGCACCCCTCAAAAGTCAACCAAATTATTTTTATAAAATTATATGCATGAAATCGATCAATTCAAATTATGAACGGATTGAAAGATAAAATTTTGAAATTATGAGCTTAATTGACTTAAGTTAAATTAATTAATCCTAATAATCCCCTAATCTCCCGCATGTGCATTGTACCCAACTGACTCCCACACACTTTTCTCGGCATGCAATAGTTCGATTAGATCGAATGACTACAAATTAAGGGATGATCACTTAAGTGCCACGTTTTTACTCTCCTTGTCGTTGTTATGTGTGACTAGAAGGGTTCTTCGCTCGATTATTTTAGTTGGGTGCGAGCAAGTGGGTTGAGCGGCACCAGCAAAGCCGCATACAACAATTTTAGTGTCCGGGGGATTTCGGTGAGTACAAATCCCTCTCTCTTGTCATTTGAGACTTTCATTTCCTTCCACACACTTTCATTTTAAAGTTTGGCTCATTTTGTGAGGTGCAAATTTTATGTCAGAAGCATCAAAAGTGGCATGCGAGCTTCTGTATGTGATTTAACATGAAATCGGTGTGGGGAAGTGAAGATAAAGGTGTTAGGAAGGGTTTAGGAGAAATGACCAACCTGTCAATCCCCAACAAGTTTGAAATCTTCAAAAATCTTCCTGATGATCTCCATTTTAGGGCAACCTAATTGAAACTTTCCAACTAATGTAAATTTGTATATTCCTGCACGAGTTGAAATTTCAGCGTCAGAAAAGAAAATTGTTGGTTTGTCCGCCTTTTTCTCTACTTTTTTTATGAGACTGCAATCGTCATTTCCTGCAATAGAATCATGGTAAATCTGCGGGAATGCCGCATTATCTGGAGGGGGAAAGGGGAGCTGCATTTGCAAACCACTGTAACATAGGAGGGTTTGGCAGGGTTATCACCGGCGAGGGCGGCGGCAAAGCCCTGAGGCCATTACCGTAGCCAGTGCCAATCTGCAGCACAGTGAGAAACTGCACGAGTGTCGAACGGCTCTGTCGTAGACGACAGAGGCAGAGCCGAGCAGACCGGGGGCTTTGTCGCAGAGGAGACGCAGCAGAAGCAGGACGGTGTCGAGCGGTCGAGCAGGACTGTAGCAAACGAGCGCAGCAGAAGCAGGAAGGTGTCGAGCAACTCTGTCGCAGACGATACGCAGACAGAAGCTGTCGAGTGGCTCTGTCACAGACAAGACGCAGGCACGAAGACGGCCGCAGCACTGCAGCCAGACGATACGTGAAGGCAAATGCGAGACGACGCGAATAAAAGCAGATGACGCGATACGAAGCGACACGAGTAAATCACAAAGTCGATAGACGCTAGAGTTCGCCATGAGGCGAACCCTAGCAGAGCGGAACAACATGTACAGAACAGATCTGCAATTGAATGTATGAATATATGTTAACTTCTTTTATGATAGATATGATGATATACTATGCTATGATACACTGCATGTATTCATTTATGATTTATAAATGTATATGAAATGTCTATGAATGCATGCTACAGGTATTATGTTTTAAGAAATGTCATAATGAATATTATGAATAAACTATTATATGAGTGCTTGAAATTACATTATACAACGATGTGATATTCTTGACTCATAATATTTAAGACAATCTTGGGAAAAGTTGAGATTAGGCGATGACAGAACGTTAGAGAACCGTTAGTATCAAGGGAATATTGATAACAACTATGTTGGGTAAAGCCCAACCTTTATCGATAGTTTATATAACTTTTGGGGCAGGTGACGGTCTATAATGACAGAATATGAAAATAGTTGAGGCCTATACATTTACAAGTAATATTATTATAAAATGACACCTATAAAATGATATTGTTGTAATCACATACGATAAACCACTTATGAACATGTCTATGAACATTTTGATTATAGTTATAATTTCTTAATTATGACATACATGTTTATATAACACTCTCAATTCTACACTAGCTACTTTTCTTTTCATGTTATTTATAATTATAGCATGTTATGACTTATTTATAGACATGTACAGTTTTCAACGAGCATGCACATTTCTTTTTCATATATAAAATATTATTTTAGCATTGATTATTTCTCTGAACTCATTGCTCACTCTGCGTTGTTGTCTTCTAAGCAGAGGCAACGAGCACCGGGGTGAGTAGCCAAGTGTGATTTATATAGTTTTGCACTGTATAGTTTTGGGAGCTGTACAAAATTTTTGGGTACCTATTTAATTTATGTTGGATTTAGCAGCTCTGTATAGTTTATTTATTTCGAGGATATGATTTTTTCCACGCTTCTGAGTATGGATATTAATGAGTTATGTAATGCAACACACCACTTATATTGTGACAATTTAGTTAGACTAGTTCTTTACTCACTTGGTCCTAAGTCTATAAGTCAGGACGAATGCTGGTGAGAATTTAGTCTCTGACTGAATTGTCCGCCTCTATCGCACCTTAGCTTAAAGAAGGGGTCAGTTGGGGTGTGAAACACACCACAAAGGAACTTTGCACCACCTATGAAGAAAAAAAGAGTACCCCTTTGGGTTCATAGAATGACAAATAAGTCCAACTACAATCTCTAGCAAGATCAAGACTCAAAATCATCATCAGGTATTAATGATCAACCTATCAACACAAATTCAACATTATATCCCATTATTGAATACACATCTCATCAGATACTTCCTCCAAGACATAAATCCTTACAGAGATCAGCTACAAGTCTCCAACTTCATTAAAATACCTCAAACCCTAAAAAATAAGAATCAGAAGGATATCATAAAAGAACCAATAAATTTCATTAAAAAAATTACATTTGGCATATAGTTGAGCTACCGAAAGGGAAAAAAATGTGAGATACAAATAAACCATTTCATTAAAATATAGAGCAAACGGAAAGACTGAAGCAACATATAGTAAGATTAGTTGTCAGATGATATACTCAATCCTATGGAATCTATTATCAAGAAATATTTGCTCCTATTACAAATAAGAATACACTTCGCATTTTAATTTTTCTCATTGCTAACCTTAGATGTACATGCAATAATATGATATGTGGAATGCTTTCTTACATAAAAGTGCATCAAACGTTAATATGAATTCTCTATCAGGGCATGGCAGCTCTTTCATAAATAATAAGATGTAAAGGCTGAGAAAGGCACTTAATGATCTCAAATAATTCCCAAGAGCATGGTTTGACACATTTACAAAAGCTATGTATGCAATGGAATATAAACAAAGTTGAGAAAATCATACCAACTTCTAAAACATTTCATTGATAAATAAAATATAACTAGGCAAATCCAAATATTTCCTAGGTATAGAAGTTTCTCGGTTAGAACAAGGAATCTTTATATCTCAAGAAAATATGAAATGAACTTATCGATAAAAATAAGAAAGATAGATAGTAAGCCATGTGAAACTTCAATCGAATCAAATCAATAACTAAAGAAAAATGAAGAAGAAACATAATGGCCACTCAGCAATATCAAAAGATTAGGTGGAAAGCAAATCTATCATATACATGCCCTCACATTACCTTTGCAACAAGTCTTATACGTTTGTTTATATACAAACCCAAAGAATCCCACCTTCAAGCTGCTTACAAAGTCATTAGGTGCCTTAAATGTAGTCTAAAAAAAAGAATTATTTACAAAGAACATGATATTTACAACTTAAAGTATATACTAATGCTAACTTTGCCAATGGATAGAAGTTTCACTTCAGGATACTGAACACATAAGATATTTTACAATATAGAGAAGAAAAAAAACATGTTGCTCCAGGATTTAGAGCTGAATTCTAAATCAAAGCAATTGCTCAAGGGATATGCAAACATTTCTTGGTTAAAATCATATTGGAAGATTTTAAAAATCAGATGGGAAGAGTCAATAGAGATATCTTATGACCCATTAGCATTGCCCGTAATCTCCTACAATATGATCGTAGTAAACATATGCAAGTGAATAGACATTTTATGAAAAAAATTAGAAAATGGATTGATTTTTACTCCATGTCTCAAGAGGAAAATAAATTTCTGACAAATTTATTAAATTGTAAATATTTTACAATATAGAAAAGAAATAAAACATGTTGCTCCAGAATTTAGAGTTGAATTCTAATTCAAAGCAATTGCTCAAGGGATATGCAAACATTTATTGGTTAAAATCATATAGAAAGATTTCAAAAATCGGACAGGGAAAGTCTGTAAGGATATATTATGAACCATTAGCATTGCCCTTAATCTCTTACTACACGATCATAGAAAAAATGTGAAAGTAAATAGACATTTTGTGAAAAAAATTAGGAAGTGGGTTGATTTTTACTCCATTTCTCAGGGGGGGAAATAACTTGCTGACTAATTATTTAAAAGACTCAATAGCCTGACATTTGAGAATACTATAAGCAAACTTGAAAAGGCATCTCTATCACCCAATTCGAGGTAAAGTGTTAGAAGGGTTGACAAGAGTGCCACATAAGAAAAATTAAAGATCATGGATTCATTGCTTCTTTACTATTTGTTTTAAATATCACATGAAATCATTTATAAAAAAATATATGAATTGCTCCATTGGCATTAATAGACAATTCCTAAATGGATTGAACATCAGGATAGCTAGGTGAAATTTTTACATTTATTATTGCAATTATTTATTTTCTTTTTTCCATGTGATTTTTGAGCAAATAAACATTAAAAGAATGTTAATGAACAATCTAAACTTTTCTAGCCATTACTTTTCTATAACTTGTATTTCCAAAAAAAATTCTTTCAGATTTTTATCAAAAGGGTAGAAATTTAATAAAAGAAGAGAAAAACCCACCCTCCATATAGATATTTAGATGTATAATATTGGATATATTGTATAAGAATATTATACCTATATATAATAAGTACCAAAATGAGCTAAGATGGTTTAATACACTATGGATTAATCATCTATTTTGAACTTAAGAACTCAGGTGCAATCTATGGATCATTTATTATAGTCTTAATGTTGTAGGCGTACATATTCACTTCAAGTTACTAAATATAACCACCAAGTAGTGGTAATCAACTGTCACATGGCATGAATATAAAACACCAAATGTCATTTACAAAGCCCATGAGAACAGCTCTGGACATAGGCAGTATGGGCTTCGTATGACAGTCTTGTTCAAGGGATTAATCACCCTTTGGCACGTTAGCCTCTCTTTCCTCCTAAATAAAAAATCCAGGCTAAAAGCATTACAAGTGTTAAGAAATGCACACAAGCAGTAATTTAACTTGAAACGTCAAATAATGATACCATATTATGACTTAAGGAATTAACATTTACTAAAGAAAACAAGATTAACGACACAAGAAAATTAACAAAACGAAAGTCAATTACTTGGAATCTGGATTCATCAAACAAAATTGGTCCATAAGCTCCAGAGCTTCAGATGTGCTTATGCTGAACGACTGCAAAATGGAGACATAATTCTCAAACTTAACGACAGTAAAACGGCAATCACATTGCACACACCAAAAGCTAAAAAACAATGAAAAATGTTAACAAAGGAATGGCTCAGCCAATGAAGGAATAAATTGGATATTTAATACAAATAGTAAAGAAGTAAAACTAAACAATGAAATCAACAAATGATATCTATACTTTCTACGCATTAAGCAGATACGTGAAAGCAGAAAGGACAAAAAATATAGTTTTAGAAGAGATTTGGAAATAGGTGAAGCAATGGTTCATCAACACTCAAAATTGCTTTTAAGATTTATATATTGAACAACAGACAATATCATCCTCTAACAAAAACACAAGAAAATTGGTTCTTTATAGCATGAGATTCTCTCTGACTAAAAAAAATTCAATGGAGATGCCTGCAGATTATCCTTCGATTCCCCAATTTTATTTGGAAGAATTAGGGGCACTTATTGAGAAATTGGACATTTATTTTAACCGCATAAATCTGATTTAAACACTCAAAAAAAAAAAAAAAGAAGTGCATATCCGCAATGCGTAAAGCAGTCCCAAGTCCCAAAACCCATTGGCCTATTATTAGCCAACAACGTCATGAGAAATTGCCTACGCACTAAAAAAAAATTACAAAGGAAAGATTTCACTTTAACCTAGAAAGTATAAGAAGAAATTTTTGTTGTTCTAACAAAAGATTGCCCACTGTACAGATTTAGAGAGGGTTAGATATTGTATGAGACCAGACCAAAGTGAGAGATTTTAAACTGATTAATGTCAAAAGATCCCATCTCAGGGACACAAGCTTCATATATTCTCAAAATATGAAATAAAAAAGAGTTAAGACCAAATAAAACATACCAGGGGATTTCCTTCAAGATGATACTGTCAAAAAAATGCTGGATAATTGTCTTTTTGTAGAAAGGATTTAATATACTTCATGAATGACTTGATATTTATTTTTGACGATTTAAATGTGACAAATAATAAAAAGAAAGCGTCCATTCACATTGCTCCAAGTAATCACTAAATCCTCTTGCCTACTAACCAAAATGATACGTGTAAGGTTGTCAGATTAAGACTAGGAGTCACGTGAACCAATCCCAAACATATATAACGTTATATCTCACCTTGCAAACTATTTTACTTTAACTGCAACAAGTTTAAGATGAAATTTTTCTTGTTGCTTTAGTAAAAACTGTCTACTTTACCATGTGAAATGTGAAGATCTGAGAAGTTTTGCTTCTTTTCAGACTTACCTCTCATATGGGCCGGCCACTATCTCCAAATCTTGGAGGATTTGATTGGAATATCATAGGAAAAATTTTATTGGGAAAGGAAAGATTTGGTTTATATATATATATATATATATATATATATATACTAATTTTTATTCAGATTTACTTCCTTTCCTAATTTAGGTGAGATACGTTTAATAAGGGTACATTTGGATGGTAGTTGCTATTTCAAGAAACAATTGTGAAGCTTCTGTAAAGTTGTTTCCTAGAGAAGCAGCTTTTCAAGAGATGTCAGAAAATTGCTGATGAAGAAGCAGGTGTCTGTTTGGGAGATTTGTTGTGCTGCTGTTGTGATGCTGAGAAATACTGTTTTGGCTTTATATATAATATATATTGAAATAAATATAATTTTCAGAATATTCAAAACTAAATAACAGAAAGGGGTCAAACTGTTAAAAAACACTAATAGTCTAGTCCCTAATACTATAATACATAAAAGAAAACATTAGTTATTTGAAGCAAATGACTCCAATAATGAAAACAAAAATGATAATCAACAAGCCTAGAATGACGTTTGTCTTGAAATCTGGATCATCAAGTCTTCGGGATAATGTCCTCTCCATCCCTACATCTCTCCTTGACTGATCACGGTCTGGAGGTACCTCGTCAGTGTCGTCAACCCAATGGAAGTAATCGCAATCTGTAGGAGTCCAGTTTCCGGGACAAGAATAAAATCTTCTTCTGTAGTTGTCTTCCTTCCTGGACTGATACTGAACACACCTATCATCACAATAACATAGTGAAACTTTCAAAGTGCTTGATGAACGTGACTACAGATTGCGACTACTTCCATTGGGTTGACAACACTGATGAGGTACCTCCAGACCGTGATCAGTCAAGGAAAGATGTTAGGACAAGAATAAAATCTTCTTCCATAGCTGTCTTCCTTCCTGGACTGATACTAAACACACCTATCATCACATTAACATAGTGAAACTTTCGAAGAGCTTGATGATCGTGAGCTCATATTTCCTACTACCATGATACAGTTTTGCTCTAATTTTAAAAAATTAAGTTGACACAACTTTCGAGAAATTCTAAAAAAATATAAGCAGTTTTAAAATTAAGAATTAAAGTTTATCGGTGAACAAAAAAAGAAAAGCACAACAAAAGTTTCTTTATATATTTTGAAAAAATATATCAAGAAAAAAATATAGAGATGAAATATGAATCAACTACAAATAACTAGGCGATCCTACATAAGTAAAGTCATTGCATTCACTAAAACATCAGTAATCTCCTCACTCAACTCAAACATCTCATCGATGTCTTCTCTCTTTGAAGTGTTGTACTCATTTTTCCTACATTTATGTTCTTCCACCAAAGGTCCGGTTTTATGTTAGTTAGCTTTCTCAGGGGTAGGATCATCGTCTAAGATCCTGAAATCGATATCATCTCGAGATAGATGCCTCCATATAAAATTATGGAGCGGGGTCGTTGTAACAACTATCTTCACCTGTTTTTTGAAATAATATGCAGGTATATCTCAAAATATGACCCACTTTTTCTTCCATACACCGAATGCTCGCTCGATAACACTGCGTAATAACAAGTGTCTTTTGTTGAAGAACTCATTCATCCCTCTAATCACTTGGTGTTGCGCTTAAACTCAATGAGGTAATATCTCAAGTCGGGAAATTGCTTCAAAAAACCCCGTTGTAGTGGATATCTCGAATCAACAAGATAATACTTCCTTGAATAACGATAACATTACTAGATTAGCTCAAATGAAAATATAATAGTGATAGATTAGTTAAGTGCACACCCTTGCGGAGGCATCGGGAATTTGTATTCGGGTTGTTGGGTTGCAAATTTAAATATTATGTTGTCGAGTGCACTCTCTTCCCAACCAGTCATCACGAATGTAAAACACATGTTTGAAACCACATACTGCTAATATGTTCTATGTAGCAGCTCCACACCTACTGATATAGACAATCATTTCTTCATTCTCCACGTGTGCATCAACATACGTTCTATCAATTGCTCCCATACAGTCCTTATTATAAAAAAAAGTCATATTTTAAGTTATTTATAAATTTTCTTTTATTAATTGAACAACGAATAGAGAGAGATCAATACCTTAAAAAAAGTCAAGTGATCCCTAAGAATATCCCGAGGTGTTTGAGCAAAAGATGGGTCCAATTGTTTAACAAAATCCGTAACCATTTTAACCAAAGAGTTAACCCCGACATGGAAATGTCTGATGATCGCTTTCGTAGAGTATTGGAAATGCTCATATATTGCACGAATGGACTCATTATGTGACATATTGAAGAGCGTGATAGCTACGACTTCTCGGGAAGTAAATCACGAAGATCCATGCAAATCATAGTTGGATTGCAATTCATCTAATAAATTGCAGAAAAATAGCTTTTGACATTCAGAACATTCTGTGAATTCGGCTTGAATGAGCTTTCATTAGTTCACTATCCCATTTGTCACCCATAGATGACAATGAGACTCAAGTTGTCTTACAAATGTGTCTCTGGTAATACTCATGAATCAGACAAACTGTGTTAGTAATGACTGTCGCTTGTTCAATTATCTCTATAATCTCCTCCTTATTTGGTGGCTCCATTTGTTTGAAAAAATAATGTTAAGCTCATTTCAAAAGAACATGTTATTCTCAATGCAGGTAAATACTTAAATTGCGCACAATGAAAATATTTTAACTAAGGAAATCCACAAATAATCAAACTTCAGAAATAGTAAACACAAGTCATAGTTTACAATGGAAATGTCAAATACTACAAATAGTCACTCTACTATAGTAACAACAAGTAAGAAAAAAAGATGTGCATGACATCAAACTAGTCTGACTCTCAAAATAATAACAACAATGGAAATGTCAAATACTACAAATAGTCACTCTATTATAGTAACAACAACTAAGAAAAAAAGATGTGCATGACATCTAACTAGTCTGACTCTCAAAATAATAACGGAGGTAAAAAATCCTCTGTTCAAGGAGCAATGTGAAGAGAGTCTCCCGCTTGTTTCGATCCTCAGAAGTTTCACGGCAAATAAATAGAGGAGCATGTCCTCAAAAAAATTCTGGAATTGAGTCGAGTAGCTTGACAATATATGTCATTGTTGGGTATGCATGGGGAACAGTGTGGGCACTTGAAGTATTGCTAGTGCAGTTTGTCACCAGCTATGATATCTGCTGGGATAAATGAGCTACCTCAACTTTACTTTTTTTTTCCCTTTTTGTGACGAGGGTGCAGATCGCTTGGAGTTACCAGACTCCCCTTGCTCTCTTTTTTTCTGGTTGTTCCTCGTAGACCTCATTAGGATGAGCACATTTACGCTCATCCAAATTAGGGGTGGGCTCTTCTGTTGTAGCTTAGATGTTGACCTTTGCTGCTACAACATCAAGGAACATAGTATCTGGCTTCTCCTCCAGCTCATGGTCAATACTAGCAAGTCTAAATTTCCTTGCATTCGGTAAAATTTAAAATTAATAAACTTGTCTTCTAAGATGCAAAATTTTAAAGTAAGAAATGTAGAATGTAAGATGTTCCATTTACTGAAATCTTCTATTGCCACCACTTCTCAAGTGCACAAACTGTTTTTCTAACAGGGTCTTATCCAAAATCAGTGCCCCCACTCTTTAGCTCCTTCCACAACTTCCAATCCTTCTTAAGTTGATCTTATTTGTTTTGCAGCTAAGTTTTATCGTACAGTCTACCAGCTCTTTCTTGAAAGAGTTTCGATATATTTTGTCAACCTTTCTTATAGAAATGTGTGGTTGGCCTATTATCATTTTCTCATAATACACAAAAAATTATCTTCATCTCCCTATCCCAAATAACGGATATTCCACATTCTTTTAGTTTACCCATTTGATATCCATGTAAGAAAAAGAAATGTATCAATATAATTTAACATGTAAAACAACAATACATGAACCTAAAATAAGAATATGACAAAAAAATAAATAAAGGCAGTGCTCGAAGTCAATTCATGGATATCAAAAATAGCTCCATCCAAGATCACCAGTTGTGTTATCATAAAGACCAGATAATATCTGTATCAAATTAGCATAACATTTTTTTTTCATATTCACAATGGGTAATCGATTGAGTTGTTTTTTTTTTCATATTTGCTCTACTAAACATTTCACAAGAAATGTGAAATGTGCCCACCAAATCGTATTTTGAAAGCATCACTGTGAATGAAAACCAAATAACCAACGAATCCACAAAAAATCTTAAATAATAAGATCATATAAATCTCGAGAATCATTTCCGATAAGTCAACAACATCAACTCCACCTCAACATATCTCTCTTTACATAGATATATAAGCACTAGTTTTTAGTTTGTCTAATAAATTTTGTTGCCCGAATTGCTTGCTTTTGCATTCTCCTCAGTGTAGAGTAACATTTTGGTGGATGAATGTTGAGCACTGTTTACATTTTTTAAGTTGTTCTCTCCTGAGACTTTTATAAAAAGAATTGCATATGTTTTGTTGCACATTTAAAGTTTACATAATAGATAAGTGGTGATCGGTTGAGCCCTTTGATAGTTATTTTCATCATCCATTTAATATGCTATCCGACATATATCCTCAGTGAATGCATATGCATGAAAATACACATAAAACTCTAAAAGAAACAAATTAAGAATGTTGAAATGTACTTCATTCCATAGTGTCTACTAATTGATCAGTGCCCAAAATTTAAATGCTGGAATGTATTTCATCCTATACCTTCCATAATAATTTTTGGATGCTGCTAACTTATATATAACGTAAACTTCGAATGTGTAACAAAGCATGTGCAATTCTAAGTATAAAAGTCTCAGCGGAATAAAATTGAAAAAGGAAACAAAAAAAAACAGACCCACCCCCCCCCCCCCCCCCCCCCAAGTGTTACTTTACATTGAGGAGGCAAAACCAAACAATTCGACCCGCAAAAATTTGTCAGACAAACTGAAAACCAGTACTCATATATCTATCTGAAGAAAATAAACCAACAAAGAAACTGAAAAATAAACAGATGACTATTGCTCATATATATTTCATCCAATTGTTTCTACTGATTGATCAGAATAGGTAAGGATGTTGCTAACTTATCTATCATGCAAACTTCAGATGTGCAACAAAACTTATGCAATTCTATTTATAAATAATTCAGCAGAAGAAAACTAAAAGAAGGAAGAAGTAGTGCTCAATATTCTCCCCCCCAAAATATTACTCCAAACTAATGAAACAAGAGTAAGCAACAAGAGCAAGCAATTCAACCAACAAAATTTGTAAAACAAATTGAAAACCAGTGCTCAAATATTTATTTAATGAAAATAAACCAATCAAATAAACTGAAATAAACAAATGAGTATTACTCATATATATTTCATTCACATTACTTCTACTGATTGATCAAAACATGTAAGGATGCTACTAACTTATCTATCATGCAAATTTGAATGTACAACAAAGCATATTCAATTCTATTTATAAATATCTCCGCAAAAGAAAACTAAGAAAATGAAGCACTGCTTAACAGTCTCCCTCCAAAAAGTTACTACACACTGAGGAGGCAAGAGAAAACAATTCAACCAACAAAATTTATCAAACAACTGAAAACAAGTGCTCATATATATATCTAAAGAAAATAAACCAACCAAAAAATTAAAATAAACAAATGAGCATTACTAATATATACTTCATCCCATTGCTTCTACCAATTGATCAAAACAAGAATATTACTAACTTATCTAT